CGTTTAGTCAGCAAGGGACCATTTGGTTCTTCAAAACTGGTCTTTCATATTTGTACTTGACAAAAATAAAATTTAAACCCATTCTTTATTTTTCAAGGAATTGTTGATTCTCATCTTTAGCTATTGTAAAGCACCGGCTGATTGTAACTCATTCCATAGGCCAATCATCCTGAAATTTTTCAAATCTTGAAATTGTTTCCTTTCATCTTATTATTCTGCACAAGAAAAATTACAGCCTATAATTACAGCCTATTGATTTGGAGATAAATTCCTTATCTTAAAGGAACACACATTTTCTTTATAATGGAGTATATCTACCTTTTTTTGGTCTTAATCAACCCCCTGCAAGAACTAAGATCTGGCTCATCTCAATAGTACTTCTCTGTAGAGACCCTCATTGTGTCATTTTTCACCCATTTAATTTTTCTAATCGTGCAAGGATAAACATGTGCACTCTAGGTGATCTTTTTCCTGTGTAAAATATTAAATACAAAGTCTACTGCTACTTAAGAAGAAACCATAAATAGACCAAACCCAAAAGTAAAAATCAAAATGACCACCAATAATGGAAAAAAAAAAAGAAAGTTAACTGAAAAGGTTACTTAAGTAACTAGGTATGGTCACAACACATTAATGATTGAAATATCAAAGTACCTTTAATTATGAGGTTACAAATTAGTTATTAAAACAACATTTAGTCAGTTCTTCTCTACTATTACTTAGCTTACAAAAGCTATAGGAATAGCTTTCTATAATACTACTACAAAAACTGAGCAGGACATAAGTTTGGTTCATGTATTTTAATTTACCACTTGCAGTTCCTTTCCTCAGTTTAACTGCTCATTTATGTACAAGCAAAGGGCGAACATTCAGTGTTAAAGTTTTGGATTTTTTAATTGGCAAGGAATGTGAAACAATTTGCTCTTGTATTTTTAAGCTCCCCTAAGCCAGTATTCCAACAAGTAAATGGCAGGAGATCTTACAATCAGAAAAGCAGCCAAGACACTATTACACCGCAGCATGAAGAAATAATGCGGTATATCCACGACTGTAAGTATTTCAACTCCTCATTTTCTTGACTAGCTTGGTGATGTAACAATAGTAGTGCTCTATCAGGTATAGAAACCAAAATAGGTTGTTTAATATACGCCATGAAAATCACGTAACACATGGGCAATAATTGACCACTTGGTCCTTCAAGGCTGTTCTTTTACACCTACTCTTTATTTTCATGGAATCATTGATTCCCCGATTAAAATGTTTGAAAAATCCTGACCATCATTACTGCTGCTGATGGTTCATTCCATTTTGTAATAAAATGCATTGTAGTTGTATTATGAAAAAAAAATACAAAATTTCTATGTAATTCCAGTACTTCTTGACTGATCATTTAAACTGCATATTATACTAATAAATAATTTTGATAGGCCAAGAAAAGCATCCAGATAGGAAGTTAGTGTCATTCTAAGAATCTCAACAGCAAATCAATAATAAATATACTCAGAAATAAATGTAGACATACAGGTTACGCATGCGATTAAAATTTGTAAAAGAGGTTTGAAGAAAGCGTTCTATGTGGAAAAGTTGCAGCTAAAATGTCTGTGTACTATCTCGCATGTCTATATGGGAACGCATTTAAAACTTGCAAAGGATCACATAAATTGAAAAATGATTGAGACAAAGTGCTGTGAATTCTCAAAACAAAGACTGAGCATTTTTGAAAATCTAGGAGAGCTTGTGAGTGGAAACTTGGCCTTGAAATGTTCACCAAGAGGCAAAACTGTAAAAGATGGTATGTCTGTAATGGTATTGGGAATTTTTTTTTTTGTATTGCAGGGTATCAAAATTGATGGTATTATAACAAATGGAGCAATATCACAACATCCTTGTTCACCTCAAATTACCCAATTGAGGATGTTTAATTGACTTCGAATTGGATGTTCAGTAAAATAATGATTCAAAAAATATTGCTCTGTCGAATAAGATGTATTTGGAGGTGAAGGAAAAGGCTTGTGATATATACTGTATGAAAAAATCAACCTAAGTTTTGGATGCTAATCCATTAAAAAAATTTGTGGTATTAGGTGGAAATTAATGCTGGAAAAAAGAAAAACCAACAGTGGCAAATTCAGAAGATTGTACAGCAAAAATAGACAAAAGTACATTGATAGTCTAAAGAAAAAAGGATAACCTATGCTGATCAATGTGGTCATATTGTTTTTGGTAGAAAGGACCTGCTAAATATTGTTTATTCAGTTTTTTTTTTGTAAAATAAACTTATGTATAATATTATAATATGACATGTAAACCAAAACAATGCTTCTTTTCAAAGTTTCCTTGAAAATGTGAATGTTGATACCTTGGACTAAGATATTGAGTGGTACTGCATACCAAAGCAAGTCTATTCATGCATCCACTGTCAAAAAAAGTTTCTTTAAAAACTTTCAATTTTGATTATTTACTCATCTGAACTACATGAGCATCAAAGATTATTGTTTAGAAAAGTTTACTTCAATGTTTTGTTGCACTTTTTTCATGCATACGTTTAATATTTAATTGATCTTTTTGGTAAGCATATAAAACTTTAAAAGTTGATTTGATTGTTCATATATCACGTTTAGTAAAACACACAAATATGCCTTTAAATAATATATATTTTCTTATGAAATAATTCCTAGAAATAGAATAAAATACAGTCTTATTGATTTCAGTATATTTATATGTAATAAATATATCATGGGCAATAATTGTATATTATTTTATCACAAAAAAAAACATGGTTGTACAATCAGTCGATTTATCTTGTTACATTTTGAATTTTTAAGCCTCATGAGTTTGCTTGTCAATTCTTCGTAGGTTAGCAATGTGCGGGAAGGATTATATTAGTAATCAGAAGTATTATGTACATTTAGAGGATGTGATAGTATTTGAATTTCATTAAAAATCTGTTATTATTATTCAGAAAAGAAAAAGAGCCAATATTGTTTATATATATATATTATGTTAAATAAGATTATAAAATCTAACTTATACAAATTACAGCTTGGAAACTAGTGAGTCGAGAATATGAGGCTGCTAAACAACCAGGTGCAGAAGGGAAAGGTATGTTTATAGTTTCATTATTATTATTTTTTTATGCTATTGTGTAAAATATTATACCATTACTTCTGTTTGTAAAGAGCTCATCTCATGTTTATACTGTACTTATGCAATGGCAATTAGTTGCATGTAAAACTTGTAAAGTGGACATCTTTATTAAATGCATTTAGATTTTGACCGTATGTTGCTGCCACTATGACAGCTCTAGGCAACTTGTTATTTTTATTTTAAATATATCTTTTAGTTTGAGTGGTAAAAACAAATTACTGACAAGTGAAATATGATGTTTGATCTATATTTCGAACAAGTATTGTGATTCAATTATATTAAATTATCCATCAAACAGACTTTATGAAAATATTTAAAGAATTTAATATAAAAAAGTTGTTTTGTTTTTTTCGAGCAAAGTATTATTTCTTTTGCTGTCAGTTTTTAACTATGTAGTCATAAGTTTGGTATTAAATCAAAATAAACTGCTAAAAATTTTAACCTGTATTTTTGTTTATTGACCCAATATGAATTTTTAGTAAGTTTTTTTTTTTACATTTCAACTATACTTCATTTGTTGCCAACATAGCCTGCCACCCAATACCAGAGCTCACCATGCTGGCAGAATTGCAATATTCAGAGTCTTAGGTAAAATTCTATTTCCTGAATTGTTGTTGGCACTAAATATATTATTGTACGTTGCTCGTCTTTCCTTCTCTGAGAATAAAATCTAGAAATTCAGTTGGTATGCAGCTAGATTGTTCAAAGTGTTCCCATTCTTTCATGCTGTTGAAAGAAAGAAAACAGTTCTCAAAGTGGTCCTTTTCTTTCATGCTGTTGAAAGAAAGAACAGTTCTCAAAGTTTCCCTTTCTTTCATGCTGTTGAAAGAAAGAACAGTTCTCAAAGTGGTCCCTTTCAGTCACACTGTTGAAATAAAAAACAGTTTTCAAAGTGGTCCCTTTTCTTCACACAAGATATTTAGTCTTTTTTCTTTGGTAGATAAAACACATCAATATTCTCTAAATTGCTTAAAAACAGTAGAATTTTCTACTTGTGTATGTTACAAAGCATATAGAATATCATATCTATGAGCGTGTTTCATATCCGTTATACTGATTTCACACAGTTTGTAATACGCTGTAAAAATTCAGTGTCATTAATAGTTTTGTATATGTCTATAACTATTAGTTCTCTTTTACATGGCTATATGGTATGTGACAGTATTCTTATACAACATGATGATTGTTGCTGTTCAGGTATCATTGTACGTAAAATTAGTGTGAAAAGCATGTAAAATCGTTTAAAATCAGAAGCTGAATATAGCCCATAAAAAATTATCTGTGCAGTTTAATTTTGATTGGTTAAGACAGTGGTTCAAAAACTGTAATACTGTAGTAATATAGAAAAATCACAATAGATATTATCTCAAATGGAACTTTTTTTGTTGGTTTTCAGTTATGTGATAGATCTTTGTAATTTTTGGCCGTACAGTTTAAACGAGTAAGAATGAAATGTTTTTATCTACAGTGAATAGTGTGGTGTATTATCAAGACAACTGTTCAACCAGTCAACTCCCAAGTAAGTAGAATGCCCCCCTGTGTTCCACAGTGTGTGCTTGGTATAGGTAATGTTTGGGACTCTGTGAAGAGAGAAGTGTAATATCCTGCACAAGACTGAAGATTTCAGTGTTGATCCAATCTTCAACCGAAATGATATGCTTGTAGAATGCAAGCTTGTCATGTTTTAATATCCTGGTTCAGTTTTGAATAACTGATTATTAGTTTTTTTTGTATTTTATGGCAATGGATATACAACATAATGTGAATATTGTAAAAGAAAAAACAACAAAGTTGTTAATATTTATTTTTTATTATTTCCTGTTGGTATTTCAGGAGCTATATGTTTATTTGGAAAGTGTTTCAGTGGTTAAACATCGTCAGTCTGTTAAAATTATTATTTTTACTTATTAATGAAATGATAGGAAATAGTAAGTTTTAATAATGTTGAAATATATTTAGAATACTTAGATTTCAGTTTTATTTTAAGGTTTTTTTTTAATTAGATTTGTTAGAAAATGGAATGTTTCCTCTTATTAATTGGAAAACAACATACTTAACAATGAATTATCTGCTGAATTTCTGTATTACTTTTTCTAAACTGTAACAGTTCGTTTGTGTGTGTGTGTGTGTGTATTTCATATGAAGCACTGCTATAGTCATGTTACAAGCTCAGTTGCTAGATTAAATGTATAATGTAAAGATTAAACGCAAGGCCCATCTGTAAAATGTTTTTGGGTCTTCAGTGGTCATGAATTGTGATTGATTAATTGCAAGATCAAGTGAAGTGTCCCACTAAATAAAGAAAACAAAAAAAAATTCTGATCAAAATCAGTCCATTGACCCATACAGTATTCTTCAAAGCAACACATGGCTAGTAAGAAAAGTCATTAAAAATTATTAAAATCAGTGTCAGGTATTCTGTTACCTGTATTAAAGCGAGTGTATATATTTTGATTTAGACAGTTATCTTTGATACTGCTACATGTGCCACTGAAATACAAAGGATTGTCATGGTTTTGGTGTTATTTAAAATGGAGGAATGTTTATGTGCATATAAAATGACATTTCATGTATTCTGAATATAAAATGTTGGGGAAATTCTCTTAACATTGTAGATAATAACTTTGCATATTAAATGTTCAAGAATGTAAAATACTGGTATGAGAGTGGCCTAATTTTTAAAAACATACATGTAAATAGATAAAAGGCTGTTTCTTATGTTTTATAAAAGCTTATTGTCTACTTATTTTTTTATGTATGCATTTCTAAAATAAATAATGTTTCCAAAAATATTGTAAAAAACATTCAGACCTTAATCCTTTCTTTTTCTAATACATTCACATATTTGGTTTAAAAAAAAACAACTTTTTTTTATTTAAAATACTGGTTTCTTAACGTTACTTTCCACTCTTTTAAGTGTAAAATCTGCATAAATCGGACATTATTTGGGCTCAACATGACCTAGGAGTTATCATGCATGGCTGTGGATCAGAAGTCTCAAACTTTAAGCAATAATATGCTGCTGAACATGCCCAATCAGTTGAGTACTACTGACTGAGTGCCTCTTTCTGTCCAGTAGTTCTAAATTAAGGATAGCTGTGCCTCAGCCTTTGGGGGTCTTTGACCAGCCTATGTGTCATATAAGGTGCATGCTATTTGGATTGCAAGTACAGATGCTAAAACAAATACCAAAAATGATTTATCTTGAAAACAAGTTCTACTGTATTAAAGTATCCAGAATTTATTTACTAAAGACATTTATAAAAATGATGATCTACAAATGTCAAACTAATATGAAAATTTAAATAAATAGACATGGAAAAGTTAAAAACTTTTAATATATTTTGTTCAATCAGGAATTAAAAAAATAATGAGATTAAAAAATTATTTTTTAAAATAGTCAAGTTTATATAAGCTTTCTGTAACTAAGGGTCTAACATTATTATACATTTAGTTAACTAAACCTGTGATAATGCAGTACGTAGAGGGATACTGTGAAATGTACTTGGCGAAAGATTTGTTTTTCAAAACTAAGTAAATTAACTTGTTAGAGAAAGAAAGCATGAAGGTCTGATAGGCTGTAATGTCACACAGTATTCTGTTTGAGGAAGTCAGTTATTGGAAATGTATAAGCTAAATAAGTAGATAAAATTCCTGTTGTTTCAGAATCTGCTGTGTCCTGTAACAATATGCTTAATATATCACTTGGTTGAGGCTGCATTATGGATTTTTCTTATGTATCCTAGAACAAGGATGAATCTTTCTGATAGCACCAAAATCTTACAAAAAAAAACAACAAGCAGAATTAAATGAACTTCAGGCAGCATATTACTAAAGCATTCCAAAAGTAATTCTTCCATTTAATGTATTTTGCCTTTTCTATTTTTTCACTAAATTCAAATAGGCCAAGTTTTCACCCTTATTCACCGTGAGTGTTTGTATAGGCCTCTAAAATTGTTAAAATAACTCAAGGCTTCCATATTTCTGTAGCGAAAAGGTGTTAAATTATGATGCAGCTATTTCACTGGAAGTTGATGTAACATTTATGGTGATGGCCTTCAGTTATTTGACTACTAACTGGTCCCAAACTTTGAAATTAGCACAGTATGATGGAGAAAAAAAAAAGATTTAATTTTCACATGGAGGCCTAAAAAAATAGTTAACACTTGGTCATTTGGCAACCATTAAAGCTTATTGGCTTGGAAAAAACAATCAAAATTGCAATTATAACTAAAATCGAAAGCTTTTGTAAGATGCCCTAATTCTTTTAGAGTAATTGGAATGATCATTATTCTGAAGCATTAGAGTATAGAATGTTGATATTTCTATAAGTTCCAGATTAATACAAAATAAAATGCTTGTAATTTTGTGCAACATATTTTAAGATGATATCAATATATTGACGTAATGTTTATGAAATGAATGCAGCTAAATAGCTACTTTTTTTTTGCATCACAATATATTCCAGAGTAACAGCATTCACTCGCGTTTAATTTTATGAAGAGATGAGTTCAGTAGAAAAAAGTTGTGCATAGTCTTATCCAAAGAAATAACTTGCTAATATATGAATAAGTAAAAGTGGTGACTAACCTATTTTCCAAACATTTGAACAAATTCTTTGTATAATGGCTGTACCTGTATTGAAATCTGTTTTTCCAGGCATTCAAATTGAGAACTTGTATTTTTAAAGGAGTAGGTGGGACTAGGACTAGAGAAGTAGGAGCATAAGTCAGTGAAGTAACGAACAGTGCCCGTGCAGCTCTAGAAACTTGTCCAATTCATAATTCAGATTTTATTGGAAATGGAATGTACAAATATTTCTTAATATACCACATCAAGTCAGTTTTATAAATCTAACTTTCAAAACCAGAATATAAATCCAATTTCAGCTTGGTGGAAAATGATGTAAAAGAAGATGGTTTCCTTCTTTATTTGAAAAAATTGTGATTTTTTTTCCCCTACTTGCATGTTGCCTATTTAAATGTGTATTTTATGTGTACCATATATTTTTGTTATGCAGAGTACTGGTTGTAGTTCTTATTATTTGAAGTAGAATATTAATTTGTCATTCTAACATGAAACGTGAAATTATGTCTTGGTTCAGAACATTTGTTACATTTTATGTAAATAGCTTGAAATATGTTTTTGTTTTTAATTTAATAAGATATTATTCCAATATCTTCAGCTTCATTCACTGTAAGACATCCTTGTAACAAGTTCGAGACTTTTATGTAATTTTGTAATTTATTAAATGATAATAAAGATTTTTTTTTTTTCTAGTAGTGACAGAATCCTTCTTTTCTTTTTTTTCTTTCTAGAATTTGAGCCCTTTGATTTGGAGTTGTTCTGGGGCCAGCGGGTTATCCAAAGCATTACTCAGTCGACGTAACATCGGTTGTTTGTGATTAGTTGATTGTGGTTAGCTGTAGTTCTACAAGTGAAACTTTGAGTTAGTAGGAGGCAGAACAAACAGCAAACAGTAGCATTCCAGTAATGTTGTGCTTGGCATAACAAGAAGGATGCTTGAACAGATAGTCATCCATTGGCATTTCTACATTGGACACTGTAATGATACAATATTTGGTTTTAGTGGATTATTTGGTACTGTTTATTACATTGGTATGTGCAACTATGCTGCAAGTTCATCTTCTTTTGAAAATCATTACATTTCTGTCGAGGAGATTCAATCCTATGGAATCCATGTGTATAGTGAAATTTGTATGTAGATTTTATCATGACAGGCCTTTAAAGGATTATAAATATATGATTTCTGTTTTCAATTTGGTACTGTTGGTGTGAAGGACTTTCATTTATAAATACAACACAGATTTTGTTTGACCAACTTATTTTTTATTCATAAAATTGTATTGATTTTTTTTAAGTTCGTATTGTTTCTTTATGAAGTGGATCTTACAATTTCCTTCAAATCTTAATAATTAATATAAATTGATATCTCATTGAAAAGATAATTAAATTATCCATGAGATTCTTTGAGTAAATAACCATTATTTTTAAAATAATACATTGTGAATATATTTATAAATCTTTGTAAAAGATTATATCTGATGCTGGCTATTTATAATATCTTTCTCTTCTGAATATACTGCCAAAATGTATTATGTTCCTTAAGGATGTGTTATCCAAAAGTACCAGTATTCTGAAACACACACAATTCTTTTTTGCACTTACTCATTTTTCCAAAGTACAGATGCTTTGTAGATTTGGATAAAAAAAATCTGGAAACTGACAATATCTTCTGGTAAAATGTGCAAGGTTATTGTAATATGTGAAAAAAAAGAACAAATACTAAACTTGTACATAAATCCATTTGTACTTTTATAAGAAATACTTTCTAGAAGCTTATGATGATGATAACAACAACATTGATAGTATGCCACCTTATGATGTATCTATTTATGACTTCACTGTGGAGGGAGAAGGGTGATTGTTACTCATCTCAACTTTGCTGGTTTATTTTTAAAATCACCATTATGTGGATTATAGATCCATTTGAGCAAATATAATGTATGCTGGTAGGAATTCAACATGCATTACATTTTATAAATATACCAATTCACACCTGAAAGTACATCATGAAAATTAAAAAGGTTTTCATAAATGTTTCAGTATTTAAATAGTGGCTACTTAATTATGATGGAATATTTTTATAGTCTGATGTGGGACTACAGAAAACATATGTTATTTTCTTTCTTTAATGAAAAGTGTTTTTACAATCATTATAATTTTCTAGCTAATAAGAGATTAACATGATAGGTGAATGAGAAGTAGATGTGGACCTGTTCTGATAGTGTAGTATGTTAGAAATAATGTAATATTCAAACCCAAACTAAACGCCTGAAATCTGTCGGGTTTAACTTGTCATGACATCTACCAAACAGCATGCAAGTATCATTAGGAGATTTCTTTCCACAATGCTAGTCATAAATTTATAATATACTGGTATGAATGATTTATCAGACCTTAACTCCAGCTTCTGATGTCAAAGTTGTACATACTAGTTTCAGTGATTTATTAGGCCTTGACTCCAACTTCTGATGTAAAAATTAAAACATACTGGTATGAATTATTTATCAGACCTTGACTCCAGTTTCTAAATTAACTAATGTAAGGCCCACCATTAATCCTCCCCGTCAAATAAAAGGCAACAAGTTTCTATTATTAAACTGATTATTCTAAGGCCTGGAAATTAAAAAATCTATGAATCTCATGTGATTACAAAGTCCCTTTAAATATAGGTTGTTTATAATTCATAGTGGAAACGTTCTGAGAATCATTATGATGGAATAACCACACAAACAACTCGTACCACGAGTCTTTATGTTTCAGAGTGCTTTTTGTCAAGTCGTACAAAAACCCATTTTGCATAAGCCTAAGCAAGTCCTTGGTTTCGGATACTCACTAATGAAAACAAACACCACTGTTTCTTTCATTTCTTATCTTACCACACGCGCAAGTTACGTTACAGAATTTCATGGTGAAACAGGAACACAATTTTGTTATTTTTTTACTCTTCACCTTTCATTAGAACTAACACTGTTTAAATTGGATAACTTGAAAGACTGCAGTTTGAGTAGCCAATAGGACAAGTGCAGTAACACAACTAAAAGAAACTTCCTCTAGCTGTCTTCACAGTGCTATCTTAAACATTGGCTAGCATTAGATGCTGACAGTAGCGTTCTTTATGTGGGGAAATTAGTGATGGAAATGGGGGTACACGCCGTGTAACTAGTTCTCAGTTTCCATGTTTTCTCCATTGCTTAAGTTTAGTACCACTGAAGATGTTTATTAACCCTATCGTCACGGGTCAAAGGCCACGCTATCGCGTTTGTTGACTTACATTCAAGTTGTATTGAACTACTATTTTATGAATTTATGTCGGTAAGTTTGGTATGAAATTGTAGATTGTAATTCAAATTCTAGTATTGAACATTAGTTAATTTCTTAATTTAAAAGTAAATATTATAAGAACACGCCTAAACATCGATTTTCGTGTGTCACGTGGTATGTTGAATGCAGCATTGGTTCAAATTAGATGTTTGTGATGTCCAAATACAAAGTCTATAGTTTTGTACGAATTAGGGACTCAAATAACCGATATTAACAGGCTAAAATATAAAATAAGATCCTCCTATGTTTTCTATTTGCTTTTTTATACTTATCACTCCACTGCTCCTTCTAAGCGTGTACCTAGTTCCTAAACCCATTTCCTTTCCTGGGTGAAATATATCTGGAACAGCTCACATCTATCTGTGTGTGTATACACTAAGCTTTTTTTATAAATATTTTCAAACATGTAAGCATACTCAAAAGAGTCTGACACATTTCAATAACTGCAGTTCAAATATAAGTTTCACACTTTAAAAAATTGCTACATGCTGTCAATGCTAACCTCCAGTCTGTAAATGTAGAGTTGACATCAGGGTCTTCAGCCAATGCCCAGGTTAAATTTAGACATACAACTTTTCCAATGCCAGTTATACAGAAGATTGAGTATGTTATATTAAAAAGATTTGGAATCGACAACCACGGCCGATATGTTTGACGTTATTTAGCGTTACGAAGGTAGTGAGATGCAACTAAAAATTGATCACTTTTTAGGAAGTTATATAACAGCCCTTTCTAATGCAAAATATTCAGCTCACAAAGATATGTTCAAATCGGGGTTTTGAAATTTCTAAGAAGGGGGATATCTCTCTTAAACAGTGGCAATGAAAACAAAAGAATATGGATCAGCTTGGGGTACGAGGATCATCCAAAAAAAACTACAATAAGTCGTACCCCAACTGTGGCAAGCAAAGTACAGTGTATTGTAACAGGTGAGAATCTACAAACTTAAAGTTGGGTGGTAAAAGTCATCCACTTGTCCTAGGCAACGGTATGCAACATAATCAAGAAGTCTCCAAATGCAGTGTTTATGGATTTCTATGTGATTGGACTTTAAAACAAACACTGGGAAACTATCGTCTTCATACACTAGATGGATTATGAAAAGCCTACAAGGAACAGTGGTGGGTTTTAGACATGGAAACCTTACAATGGAGCCTTTTGCAATTGTCAAAGGTGCCCCATCGTCAGATAAAGTATGGCTGGCTATCGCAGTATGGATTGTGTCGACGTGATGAGGCTCCAAAATTATTTGAATACACCTTTCCCAACCTCCGTATTTTCATATATAGAATTATACAGCTTGCTAATGCACTCGGACATTTTCAAGAAAAAAAATCATTACTTTTCATTCAGCATCAGACAATATTGAAACAAACAAACATATAATATATGACAGCAGTGAGTTTCTATGTGATTCCAGGAAAACAACTTTTAAGAAGATCATCAAGAAACAAAGGTGAGAAGTACTTACACACATTGTTGAAAACCTTACAATAAGTTTGAAACAAATGCTTGAAAAAAATGATGATTTTTGAATATTAACTTCCCTTATGAAATCATTTACCACAGAAATGGAATATGGATAAGATGAGGATCAGTAGTGATAATTATAACTGGCAACTAATTTCACTTCAATATGTGTTCTACATTTAATGTCTCTAAAGTACACAGATAATGAGCAGTTATAAACATCAACAGACAGCTTACAAATAATACTTGAAAGTTGGCACTTAGAATCCTTAATCATCAGTGCCAGTTTTTCATTCACACCACTGGGGAGACTGATCCATTCAGTTAAGAACTGGGAATGCTTTTGTGTTACTACACCAGGCTCAATAACTGTTTATGGATGAGGATTTAGTGTGAAAACTCTTGGAAATATTATAAAATTCAGTGTTTATTAAACAACTTTGTTTTAATACTCAGTTAGAACAGTTAAGTTAGCTAACTTTATTTTTCCAAGCATTTTTTATTGTATATGCCACTCGGTGGCTCAGTGGTAAATAAGCTTATAACGTTATAAACCGGGTTTCGATACCCGTGGTGGGCACAGCACAGATTAGCCCATTGTATACCTTTGGGCTAAACTACAAACAACAATAACACACACACACAAAAAAAAAACTTGTATATGTAAGCCAGTGTTGTAGCGGTGCTTCCGGCTGGCTACCTTCCATCTCGTCAATAATTCAGAATTAGAAATGGTTATATCAGATTTGCTCGAAACAAGTCTGCATAAAGTATCGTTCAAATTGGAAATACTAATACCATTGCGCTTTACATTAGTGCCGTCCTCAGCTATCTGTCAACTTATATGACATTTGTATAATATAGTGGCCAGACTTATTAGCTGTTAGCATGGCCAGACTGTGAATACGATAATTCGTGGTTCGCATCCTGTAGTCACAAAACTCTTTCCGCACTTTGGATTTGTTTCGTATGTTCTCGCATAACTATTCCTAATTTTGAACTGATAGATTAGATAGAAAACAACACTCATTGCCACTATTGAGCTACTCTATTCAAATGGTGGGATTTAGCCATCACTTTTATAACACACTCACTCTCCTAAAGTGCAGAGCATGATTTTGCAGTAATGAGACCCAAACCATGAGTCCTTGGATTCACATTCCAACATGCTAACCACTAGGCTATGCCTGGCTCACTGCTTAAAGAGCAACTAATAATTATTCAATGTAATTTTTAATGGAGTCTATATTGGTTGAATTAAGACATCTGTTTCTAAGATGATGTTGATTAAAGTTTTCGTCACTGACATTAGACGTTCTACATTTGATTCTAATTCCCTGTAATCTGGGCACAATATTTTCTAGATTACAAATTAGAAATTGTTGCTCAGATTAGTTATGATTTAAATATTTGTAATCATAATATATATAATAGTGTATCTTGCGGCCAAAAAAAAACCTGCAGGACAGTGTGTCTGTGTCTGTGTATTACTAACAGGAGTGATAGTTTAGCGATTTTCCACCTTTTGTAGCTCGGACTGTGGTAATCCAAACTATCACATCTTTTCAGTGGATGTGCTCTACTGGATTCTTGATTCACTTACCAAATTTCAAGGCAATCAATTCAGAAATGCCTGAGATATAACCTCTCCAATTTTGATTGAGTTTCTTCCTTTTTTTTTTTTCTTTTGACCCAAAGTACGGAAACATTATTTGACTTTTATGGATTTTTTTTTAAAACTTGATACACGGGTAGATCTTTACAGCATACAATTAGAAGTCTCATTTGGTGTAGATATAAGCCACATGTGCGCAGTTATTCAACAAAAATGCTCAAATTTAACGAAAATGTTTGCACACCCCTACGTAAAAAGTCACGTGAGATATCGATCTAACACTTTTTACTACAGCTTCATCTAAGAGTGAAAGTGTATTGTTTTTAGTTTTTTATAATTCGGATTAAAGACGGCTGACTTAGAGTAGCAAAACTATAAGGTGAAAGGACTTGCAGATACATAAGTATTGGTTAGGCCAAGCAAACTAGATTAGTAGTTTCTAGCTCAAGTTTTCAAAAGAATCATACGGGTGAACGGTTATTATTGATTATTCAGTGCCAACTTTTCAACACAAATTTACTAAATTTCATGAAATTATTCTAATTAAAGAGCGTTTAGCGTCACATGATATTAGCTTAAGCAATTAACATAAATAATGATGCTTGATACGGCTATACCGATTGAATGGAGGTGATGACAAGAAACTGTTACTCTAAATTCCATGGCGTTATTTTAAAGGAAGCTATTAACACTGTTTTAGAGAGGAAAACTTTCACCAAATATTTTAAAGAATCTAGTTGGCTCTGTAAAATATAGGTGTGTTCCGAATAACAAGGTTGTGATACTAAGGCTAATGTTGGTTACTATCGAGTGGCACTTTCTTACTGCTGTGGTTTGTTGGTGTGTATTGACAAAAATAATGATATCTAATGAAAAACACCTTAGGTGTGTTTTACCTAATCATGCCCCTAGTTGAACAAAAAACACGGCCTAGCTAACTAATAAATGAATATTTGCTGTAAAATTCTTATCAGTGCTATAATTGTAGCTACCAGTTTGACTGCCAATTTTGATTTCATTCCTTTAAGTCGCACGCTCAATCCCTATTTTGGCCGCACCTTTCTTTTCACACCTAAGGTGTTTTTGATCAGATGATAGACTAAATTAGTAGCCCTCACCTCTAACCCTTTGAACCGGTTTAAACTCGTTTTGATTCGGACAAAACCGGTTTAAACTGGTTCGATCCGGATCTGGTTAGAATTGGTTTGAACCTATTTATCCGGTCGATTCGGCATTCTTCGGTCGATCTGGTCCAGTTTGACCTATACTGGTCGAAAAAGTTCTGACCTTCCGTTAAGATCTTGAAATTCTGGGACCTTTCAGAAAGAAATTAAGAAACACGAACAACTTTTACGTTATCAGTATATAGAAATGATTTATATAAGCTCTGTTTTTATGAGTATTTATCATTTTCATTACGTTATCTAATAAGATTCTATTTTTTACATTTTGGTTATTTTTATAATAAGAAATAGAGTAGTAAATAAAAAATATTCGGAAAACAATGATCTACACTACATACGATGTTTTGAAGTTCTTTTTTTTGCACTCGTGACTCGTACTTCCTAACCCTCGTCATAAGCCTTGTCCAAATTCACACGTGACTGTGAAAAAAAAATGAATTTTTGTAGACTTTATATATGAATTTTTTGAATACCAAAAATTAACCCGTTGTATACATAAGGTGCTATTCATATTAACAAAGAAACTTTTCTTTTTACACAGAATTCCTTATCCAATTAAGTTTGATTGGATACCATAAAATTCTGAAAAAAAGTGGATTACTAGGACTTTTATTAAAACTCTTTTATTTATTTTTTCGACAGAGGAGTGTGAATGGTAGAAGGAGCTTTGAAGATAGAAACTAACCGAACATGCCCACTTTATGTAAAATACGTGTAATTACTAAACTACAGCAGATAACTCTTGTGCAGGTATTATCAGCTTTTGAATCTCTCTCTCTCTCTCTCTCTTACTCTTGTTCTTCTTATTCGTTTCGCTTTCTTGTACTATTTTTGTGGTTCCCTTTCGTAGCCTTGAGGATTCATAGTTTGCCACCGCCACATGTCAGCACCTAAATCAAAACATTAGTCATTTATCTAATATACAAACAATGCTGTTATTTGTAACTTGGTTACTTTTAAACTGATCCAAATATTTTCTTATTTAGTTCGTTTAACTGAAATAGTCTTCCTTCCTTGTACAATGTTTTAACTGTTTATATTTGATACAAATTTGAGCTTGGTTCCCCTAGCAAATAAATTCTCCCTTGATTGGACCATGACCCATTTAAAATACATTCTATAAATTCTACATGATGTTCGTTATTCATTAAACATATTCTCTGGTCAGTTAACCAGTAAGTACACGCTGTACATCTTGTTTGATGTTGGCCATTCATTAGTTATGTTCTCTGGTCAGTTAACCAGCGTGTACACTCTATACATCATGACTAATGTTTTTCGTTCGTTAGCCATGTTCTCTGGTCAGTGAACCAGTTAAGACTATATATTTTGACTGATGCTGCCTATTCATTAATCATGTTATCTGGTCATTTTACTAGCAAGTACAGACTAAACATCATGACTGGTGGTGGCCGTTAATTACTCATGTTCTCTGGTCATTTAATCTGACAAAAAAATGCTATAAATTAATGCTATGGTGCTTTCTTTCAAACTATATACTACTCATCAAATTTTAGAAATAACAGAAGCGGAAAACTGAAACATTTGAGTGACCTATTTATGTTCTTTTAAATGCTGCAGTTATGATGTAAAAAACTATCGTAAAAACAAAGTGGAGTGTTTAAAAAGTTTTGATACAAGTTGACATTCATTCAGCGTCAGACTGACTATGAAATTCTGTACTGTATTTAGTGTCTCGTGTTGAAATGTCAGTTATTTCAGCAGAAACATTTAAATGTAGCCATTCACAGAACAAACGTATACTTATAAACTCTCAGTTAGTTGACATACATAGCCATTCACAAAAAAAAAAAGATAGATATCCAGACATTATTAGCTGAATCATAGATAAAGCCACCTACAAAACAAATGGATATTGAAACACTCTCAGTTAGTTGATAAAAATTCCCATTCACAAACCGAGTTAACTGATGTATATTAGCGTAAAAAAAACAAAAAAACGGATATTGAGAATCCGAAAGTTAGTTGATAGATAAGCCATTCCATTCATAAAACAAACATATTGAGACAATCAGTTCATAAATATAGTCATTCACATGTGGATTCTAAACTGAAGCAGATCCGTGTATACGACACATACGTGTGGTTTTTCTTGTGATCTGTAAAGAATTAATAAATTTGATTATATTGGCTATTTGTTTTCCAAGTCATTATTTGTAAAAAGTGCCAATTGTGCAATGAACCCATTTTCCTGAGTTAAACGAGAAAGGGTGGTTTAAAATGTTTTTTTTTTTTGTACAATGGAAAAGTTGAAGTTAAATACCCGTGAAAAGAAAAAAAAATTAGTAAGCATATTCATTTATATTATTTAAATGTAAAAGGCAGTTCATGTTACTTTTTCCAGTTTCGTTTTCGTCAATTCTGTAGTTTGAAAAATATCTGATGGGGTGTATATTTTTTACTTTCAACTTCATTTCATTTTATTACAAAATTCAATAACTTGGAATAGTATCAGCATTTACACTAGTGTATATAATGAAAAAGGTAGGGATGAAATAGGAAATAAAATGCTTTATTTCTACGTACACATTTCAAGAAGAGAGCGGCTAGCTTTCCATCCTAACTCGGTGTATGCGTGCTTCGGGTCACCGTACAACTTGGCCACATCACCCGGCTTCCTGTCTCCTATCTTGTAAGGAATTTTCTTTCCCGAGGCTTGTTCGAAGGCTTGTATAACCTCCAACACAGTATTGGGCTTTCCTGTTCCTAAGTTATACGCCTGAAAAACAGATACATTGTCAAAGTTTTGTAAATATTTAAATATATATATATATATATATCGCACATCTCTGGCTCCTACAGTTTTGTTGAGATAACAAAAGCAGTTTCGTGAGATTGATGGATTGATGATGAAAGCTGTCACTGTCATTGAGCATGAGAATAATTCTCACATCTAACCAAATTGACCACAGCCATCCATGTGGTCTGTGAATACACGTGTTAAAAGTCCTAACCGTGTTGTTACAATTCAGTTTTGATTATTTGCAAATTGCAGGTGGCGCTTCAAACTGACTCATTCTGGGAATGTTATGTTACAGAACTTTCCGATGCGAAGCTCTTCTATTTGGCAATTATAAAAGCCTGCCAGGTCCAGAATTTTAGATTCGCGAAGAAAGAAATATCTGTCGTGTTGAAACATATTGATAAACCAAAGGAAAGCGTGGTTCCAGCAGGAGAAAATAAAAGGGCTACTCCACTAATAGTCATCAATCGCAAATTGGAGGTAGTGAAGAAAGCTAAACAGCTTGCCACTGGAAATAACCCAATAACGTAGCTTAAGTGGGAACCTTCCTTGGACAATAATCAAAATAACAGGTATTTTAAACGAACTTAGGTCTGCAAAAACGACATAAGAACAGTGCACACAAACTTTTCCCAAATTATACAGGCAAGTGAAAGATTAAGAGTGGAATACTGTACAAGTGGCATTCGATGTGCGCAAATGGAAATATATCGTTATAGCTATAATGGTAAGATAAACGTGGGGAATCGTGATAAATGCTAAAGTAAACACTAAATACTATCAAGTTAATGTCTTGATAGTACAATACCACAAAATATCAACTCTGTAGAGAAGGACCTAGCTACGTGACCAAACCAAAAGGCCAGTTTTTCCACAAGATGCAAGTACACATAGACTTCAGATGCTTTTGGGTTGCTCAAACATCAACGTCCATGCACGACTAAGGGAGTTTGGAAAGCATGTGAAGATCCTCTGGGGGTTCACATTGACCTCAATGTATTGCTCAAAGGCCTTTTGCACGTAGAAATTGTGCTGCAAAATAACAAGGCCACCACTCAAAAAAACCAACAGTGGCGGAAGAAAGGGTTATAAGTCCTAAGTATTCATCCTTCTATGATGAACATATCCTTATAATCAAGGATCTCAAATTTGATATACAACTGAGATCTATGATACCCAGAGGGTCGGCGGTAAGTTTATGGGCTTACAATGCTAAAATCCGGAGTTTGATTCTCAGCGATGGACAGAGCACAGATGGTTCATTGTGTAGCTTTGCATTAAAAACAAACAAAGACAAATCTATGTATTCTGGCAAAATAGTAATCACATACAGTATGTAACAAAAGTATCGTCCTTTGTGGAACATCTTATATGTTCTTTTACACGTGCCGAACTAAATTTGGTAGTCAAGGGAACATCACATGGTATATCTGTGTTTTGAGATGGCTGAAAGGTTTTCACACATATAGCGCTACTTTTTATGACATCCTGTAGATGTGTTCCCAATATTTTTTTACACAGGATTCGTTTCTAATTCTCTCCAAAACATCCAGCTATTCTGATCAAAACTTGCAGTAGAAACTCATATCCGTATGCCACCATTCGAGATGAAACTTTCGCGAACTTTCTGTTTTTAAATTGATATTGGCCTCTTGAATCAAATAAAAATATTCCTCTTGTGTACAGGCTTTAATCAAACTCTGAAATAAAAGTTTTACAGTTCTTTAAATCAAGTGTAAAAAAATGATAAAATGTGGTAACATTTGACTATAGTGATATGATGAATATAGCAAAAAGAAAAACAACAAAAAATGCGAATCTAAGTTGAAAGAAGAAAAATTTTAACCATTTTAATTATATAATCTTACTTTAATTTTTCTTTTTGAAAAATGCATCAAACCCTTATATTAAAGAAATTAACACATTTTAAGTGCATTTTTATCTTTTATTTATCTAAGCGTTTGGCTTACTGGTAGGATTTAGCAGAAATTTAATAGATATAGATTTTACAGGAGTTCAGTACAGTGTAAATTTTTCAGGATTAGTACAACGTAAAATTTTCAGATTAAGTACAGAATAGATTTTACAGGACTAATATATCGTAAATTTTTCAGGTTAAGTGCAGAATACATTTTATAAGCTTAGTACAGCGTTCATGTCACAAGTTTAGCATAGTATATCGTTATAAGCCTTCAGACTTACCGCTGATACATTGGGGGGGGGGCTATTACTCTTTACAACCACAAAAGAAGAAAGTAGTAATTTGTTCTTAATAGAAAATATTTAGGAATGCAGAGTAATTAATTATTAATGTAGTAGTTTGAAGGGTTAAAAAATGCTTTACTAGCAAATGCTAGCGGGATAACCCTTTAGCTTAGTTGGTGGAGCACTCGCCTGGTGTGCGAGAGGTCTCAGGTTTGAATCCGAGTTGAAGAAGTAATAATAATAATAAAGGTTTGTTTGCAGTTAATCACAAAGTCACACAATGGGATATCTGTGCACTGCTCACCACGGGTATCGAAATCCGATTTTTAGTGATGTAAGTCCGGAGACATAACACATAATAAAGTTTTACCACAATTCAATTGGTACCCAAAAGAGGGGTTTGGTTCATCCCACGATCCTGAAATAAGGCTCGAGAATGGGCCTGATTTGTGTGTGTGTGTGTGTGAGGAATTTTGTTTAGCAACTAACTCAAATCATCACATTCTTCCACTCTCACACACACAAAATATATAGAAACGAAAAAAGGCCGTTGCGAATACGAGCTGAGGAAAAAAATACCACATTTATAAATAAAAATACATTGTTGTAGTTGCAAGCTGTTTTAAAATTTAAGTTGAGTGCTTGTGACAAGTACGCATATCGCTTGTTCTAAGTTCCTACTTCCTTAAATTAAGGAATAATGTTCTAAGCTTTGTTAGGCTTTTAAACAAGTTCCCAACTGACATACAATTATCGATATATTTTATGTACGACTTCCTGTTAACTTTATCTTTACTTTAGAGAATGTGAAACTTAAATGATACATGAATCTAATACTCATCCAAACGCACTCGGCAGCCTTTGTAAGATGGCTCCAGTATTTTCTTCACTGCTGCCACATGTGCTTTAGCAAGATCCATAACATGAAGGTAGTCCCGCTCCACTAAAAACCAGAAACAAGTAACCGATTTATATTGAATTAATAATAATAAATAGAAACTTTAATTTTTTATTTACGTATGCACGAATAACATTGGTATAAAAAATGTTAAATTACGTACGAAAGACAGCAGGAAAAACCAAACATCTAGTAATACTTAAAGACATTTATTTACCACAAATACACGATGTGCCCCACAGTACTGATACGATATTTGGCTTTGAATGCTGAATTTGGAATTAATAATATCAGTTTTTGGACATCTTATGGTATATTCATAGACTTACATTTACATATTGAGTAAGAGTTCCTTTTTTTCTATTTAATTTGATTGATTATTAAAAGATTAACAAAATTACCTTATCAGCAGTGGCGGCGCCATCACCAAAAATGGGGTGGGGGTAAGTGGGGGCAAAACAAGACATCTTATACTCATGTGTAATTTTAAAGGGACTTGTTATTCCCCCCAAATTTTAGCGTGCTACATTACATTGAGTCAACATTGGGTTTCGAAAGGTACCTTGTATGGAGTTTTGAAGCCCCAAAGTACTCACAGACCTCAGAAAGAATCAGAAGGTTTTTGACCATTCTAGTATATATATATCAATTTTTTTTGGGAGGGGATAACAAGCCCCTTTAAAAGTGGATTGACGAATAATGTTCTTTCGAGTATTATTTAATTAAATAAATAAATATTTAGTGCAGTAGTACTATTGGTATGAAAAGTAGGGTTAAAGGAATTATAATTTGTCGCTGCAATACAATATTTGCATACTTTATTATAACGAACGAACTTTTTAATTGTTTGCAAGTAGCTTGGATAACTGTTTTCTCACTTCTAAAGTACATTAAAATATCTGACAACTAAGGGCTTGTGCGGTTGAAACAGTTTGTTAAGGGCAGTGTTAACCACTACTATTTCACTTTAAACCGTAATCTTTGAGGCTTAACTTACCTGTTCCGTCCTTTGTGTTAAAAGTATCTCCGAACACCTGTAATTCAGCACGTTGCCCAGCGGCTACTTGAGCCACGAAGGGCATCAGGTTCTGGGGTGGACCTTTGGAGTCATCTCCAATCCTGCCAGATTCGTGTGCTCCAACTTCACTGAAGAAGCGTAAAAGTATGACATTCCAACCCTGTAAAGAACCAAAACAAAATGTACAATATTCCAACCCTGTAAAGAGCCAAAACAAAATGTACAATATTCCAACCCTGTAAACAACCAAAACGAAATGTACGACATTCCGACCCTGTAAACAACCAAAACGAAATGTACGACATTCCGACCCTGTAAACAACCAAAACGAAATGTACGACATTCCGACCCTGTAAACAACCAAAACGAAATGTACGACATTCCGACCCTGTAAACAACCAAAACGAAATGTACAACATTCTGATCCTGTAAAGAACCAAAACGTAATGTACGACATTCCGACCCTATAAATAATCAAAATAAAACATATGACATTCCATATATATATATCACATATATACAATATAATGTAAAACCGTTAATTATAGTTACTAGCAGAAACGCCGCCTTACAGGCGGATGTTTGTGCTACTAAATATTGTACGTGTGTGTGTGTGTGTTTTATAGCAAAGCCATATTGAGCTGTCTGCTGTGTCCACCGAGAGGAATCGAACCCCTGATTTTATCATTGTAAATCCTTAGACTTACCGCTGTCTCACTGGGATACTACTAATTACGTACCTCATTTAAAAAAAAAATAGAAAAGTTAACATTTTCTAAAAAAAGGATTTTTTTTCAGGAAAGGTGTTCCGATTGTGCTCTTTAGTCATACGCAACTCATTGCACTAAAATCATTCAACGTACAGAGGTCAAACTTTTCATAAATTTTACTGATATAAACTGTAATGTTTTTATATGTTAAAAGTGGTACCGTTTATTGAAAAACGAGAATTGTTTTTTAAGAACTTCAGTTTCTCAATACTGTACTTAAAAATTATATCAATAAAGATATAATCAAATCCTCACGTACGATCGTTGTAAAAGTTGTGTTCTTGTTGTAAAAAGAGTACTTTTATTTAAAATTGTGTTGTATTATAAAGAAATGGTTGTTGTACATACCACAGTTATTTTTCTAACTGTCTGAATCTTGAATACCCAAAGTATGAATTTTTTTATGGATTTGTGTTTGTGGTGTCATCCACTAGATGGTGCCACATTGTATTTATTACTTCGGTCACATACGTAGGTAGATACATATATACACGTTAAGTCCATTATAGTACGAATATTTTCTTTATTTGTTGCTCAGTCCAAAGCTACACACCACGAGTATCGAAACCTGAATTTTAGCGTTACAAACTGTCAGATTTACCGCTGAGCCATTGCGGGAAGATTTGATTATCGTTTATGCATTTTCCTTCTATTGTTTGGTTCAGCTATATTTTTATTTGTCTTAAATGCTAGCTCACCTGTCTCATAGTGGATATTAAATATTAAATAAATCATTTCTATTTCAAGACGCCAACACGAAATACACCTAGCGGTGATTTATACTATAATAACTGCTATAGTCATTTAACCTATATTCAGAGTTATCTTCCAGTTTATAATAATGAAAAAAAAGTTATTGGAGATTATTGGAAACAGTTGTATGGATTTTACTTAACTGGCACTATTGCCATTAGTAACCATTTGAGGATCGGACGTGGATCCTAATGTCCAAGGTTTGCGCTGCAATGCTGCTGAATACTCTACACTTTCAGTTGTGGGTGCGTTATAAGAGTGACAGTCATTCACGATGTTTGGTTCATAGCCGGACAATGCCCTCCTGTTGGTGGGTGCTAGTGGCTGCCTGCTTTATTAAGTGCACATAAAATACCAATACCAGTCATTTTAATTTGAATACTATGCATTCAAACCATCATTAATACATAAATGCACAAAAGTCAGTAATGGATAAAAACGTATTCATTATACTTATACACGTATAAGAATAAGAATATACGACATCCCCTCATTTCTTTAAATAATAGATACAAGCATCAGCCAATAGATCTGCATGACACTCACTTTTATTGATCTCTGAATTTTGTATATATATTCATTTCAGATTCAGATGATAAGTATTGTGCTAGAAGTAAGATTATTAAAAAGAACATGTTGCGCACAGTAACTGACGATTTCTATCAAGCATGCAAGTGATTATTTTAATTTTTTGCATATTCATAGCTATCTGTTAAAACTCCCAGATACTCTCTACGAAATCGGTAAATGTGTAAACACTCTTAATTAATGAAGTGTGTTTAAATAGAACGTTTCGACTCCTTTAAAAGTAAAGTTAATGAAATGCTTGAAGTTGAACATTTCCAATGTGTAAGACATGGCAAACGAAAAAAAAAGGGAGTTCCAAATGCATCCTTTTTTGGACGGACATCTTTAATTTGTGTGCTTACAAATAAACTGCATAAATTTATGATTTATGTCTGTACTTTTAATTAAAAAAATAGCAAAGCCTGAAGTTATAAAAAATAAACTGGTTCTGTTCTTTTTCTTTCTTTTTTTTTGTCTGTACGCTGTAGATAGTTGTATATCAAGGAACGCCCATTTATCGTTTAGTATACACTGTATACGTTACTATCCGGTAGACCCGTTGGTGGTCAAATGCGAACGCCGACCCTCTTTTGTCATTCCTGAAGAGTGGGAACTATGGGTACGTGCCATGTTTTGTGGCGGTCGGTCCAGCGGTTGGCTAGTTATAAGCGGAAACACATATGAACTTTCTCAAAATAATGGCATATATAATAAACCTGACGCATTAACATTAAAAGTACGTAGTTATAAAAGCCAAGTTATAACCTGCATTAAGTGTCTTAAATAACATTGTGGAATAAAACTAATATTTTTAAATCTTTCTAACGTCTGGTTTACTAATATTTGGTTATAAATTTCCACCTTTAAACTTATTTGTTTCTAATATTCATGCAAATCTACACAATTAATTTCACCATTTCGTAATTAGCATAGAATGTATTTGTAATAAGGCATATTCAGGTAATTTTTCTAAATTTTCATGCAGGTTTTCTTCATATTGTTATGACATTCTTGTAAGCCGGATGTCAAAAGGTCTTAAACATGTGCTAATCTTTTTACTTAAACATTGTCGTATGTAACCTTTACCTGTCTCATAGAAACTTGCACCAGTTTGACCCTTTGTCTCTGTCCATTCCTTTGGTGGGACAAACTCATTTCAAGGGACGACACAGACACTTGTACAAGTTGGTATGAGTTTGGGTTCTCTCCTATGAAAATGTTATTTTAGAAAGTACGCTGATGCAGGTAATAAAGTGCAATATATTATAATTATTTCTGTCCTTGTCCTTTGTTAAACGAAAGCAGGATGCGAACAATGAGTATTCAAATTCACAGTCTTATACGTTAACCATTAGGCCAAGGCCGACCCACATCTAAACTTGTATTGGATGTCTTAAATACCAGCTTGTAATGAAGTCAATGTTCAACAGATAAATGAATAATCTGATTAACTGCAACTTGTTAAAATACAAATAAAAACAAGCTATGAACCTGCATTAAATGTCATAAACTCCATTTTGTAATGATACCAACGCAATAATACTCTATTGAACATGTTGTCAGCCTTGTATTACCCGAATAGTTCACAAATCATGCCTCAAGAATTAAAATATAAAAAGTAAACAATACCTCAGCCGCTGTGATGTCTTGAAGAATATTTTCAGTCATCAACATGGTTCTAGCATATGGACTGGTACAGTCTCCTACGGGGTGACCCTCGTCAATAGGTAGGTACTTGGGATCTCCGTACACTGTAGAAGAGCTAGCAGCGACCATTTTTGTGACACCAAACTCCTGCATGACCTAGGAAGGTAAGAAGCGCTCGAAATAAGTATGCGTGCTAAAGTAAAAAATACTGGCAAGTTCAAATTTGTCACTTACGTTATCTTTTTTTCTTTTTTTTTTACTGTTTATAAACAACTCATCCCTAAAATCACCTACTTATTTTTACACCATTTATTACTGATTGCATTCCCAGACAGCATTACATTGAATAATTTTGTTTGTGGCTGGTAAAGCTCACAATTTGAAGAACTGATAAAAAAAATTGTGTTGAATCTCTCATTTTATTTGTAAAATACATAATGGATCCCACCACCAATTAATGGAATTAAGTTTAATGCCGATGGTGATTTTGTAAAATTTCGTGTGTGACTCGTATATTATTAGGTACCTTGTTACAAACAAGCCCCCCCCCCTCCCCAATGACTCAGCGGTAAATCTAATAGAATATAACGCTAAAAAACATGTTTTGATACTCAGCACAGATAGTCCATTGTGTAGCTTTACGCTTAACAACAAACAAACAAGGTACTAATAAAGATATGGACCCACAAGCAATATGATGCATAAATAGTTTAGAAAAATATTATATATTATATACAAAGAGGGTTAATAAGAACAGCCAAAAACAACTGTCGTTAGCAGAAACAAACAAATACAAAAATATTAAACAGTGTATCGACAGGATACTTTGAGTAAGAAACTGCTATTTACTAGAAGACGAGAGTTATTATGTATGAAAGACTGTGAAGAACAAGAAGAGACAATTTAGTTTATCATAAACCATGCAGATAGCATCACGTGCTCCTGTGAAACACTGGAATGAACCAGATGGCATTTAATTTGTGTGAAAAACTGTTTGTGACTAAAATACACGGCTCACTTTGTGTAAATCATTTTTCACACACTAAAACACACTATTTCCTTTGTGTTAAAACCTATATACCACAACACACTAATTTCTTAGTATTAAAAGGCCGGC